TTAGTACAAATTTATTAATATCATTAGTTTTATCTTTATAAATAAAAAGATAAAAGATAAATTCAAATCGTATTAGGATTGTGTTACCACTTTTTGGGGAAGATGAGTCGAAGCAACTAGTTTTTATCTCGTGCTTTGCACTAACTCGCATACTTTTTTTTATAAGTATAGCTATTTAAAAATGGTACTCCGTATTATATTGAAAAATAAAACTCACATTAAATCAATAAGAGAATAACTCTTTAAGTAAACCAATTACAATGTCTATTATTGATGGAATACATAAATATTATACATGTATGTGCATATGAAAGATAATACATTAACTCTTCTTAAATAACTTTGTTAGACATTTCATTTTTTGTAGATATCGTGGTATGCGAGGGTATGATGTACTCCGTATTTATTAATTTCTTCTATGAATCTTATTATTCTACACTTTATTTGACTAATTATATTTATAATTTTGATAGAAAATATATTTTTAGTTTTTAAGGAAAAGTTTTACTTTTTTGTTTTATTTTACCATCTTTGATAATTAAAATTTATTCGTATTTATTATAATTTTTTAATTATAAAATTACATGCATTATAAGTTTTTTTTAGAAATTTGGATATGATAACTTATTGTAGCCAGACTATTACTCCCTCCGTCCCTAAATAAACTTTCATTTTTGACTTTATGAAAATTTAAGGGAGGAATATTTTTTGTGTTGACTTTCAAAAACTACCCTTGATATGATGTGTAAATGTAAGATGTGATAGGTAGATTATTAGTAAAAAGATATGATGTGATAGGTATGGTATAAAAAAGTAAGGGGTATAAGGGGTTTTTTAAAAGAAAAGAGAAGTTTATTTGGGGAGAAAGAAAAAACGAAAAAAGAAATTTATTTAGGGACAGAGAAAGTTTTAAATATGATATTTTTTTAAAAAAATTGTATTCCGGACGGAGGAAGTAAAAAAATAAGAAGTATAAGAATATAAAATGAATTTAAAGAACTTACAATTAATACTCCGTACTAATTTTTTAAACAAAGTATCCAATCAAAAACTTTTTTTTAGATCTAATCTCTCCCCTAAAACTCAAATTCNTCCCCCCCCCCCCCCCCCATTTTTTTCACTTTCCCTCCATTCATTTTTTTCCCATTAAAAAATAATTTTTCTTAACCCACCCATCTACCACAAGTCCACTACCCATTTCCCAATTTCAGATCTAATCTTCCTTTTCTTAACCCAACCCAGCAGCTACTATAGATAATCCCAGTGACCATTTATCAAAGGCTACCAGCAATTCTACCATCTATGGACGTTTGCATTATATTTCCACTTTTGGATCATGACTATTGAATACTATGTTTTTTAATTATCACTAGATGACTACTTTTTGGTGTTTAGCAAGATTCTCATCTCTATTTTATTACTGGTTTGCTTTATTTTATCGCATGTATGCTTAGATTTGGAAAAAATAATTTTCATGTGTTTTATGTCATCTCTATTTTATTGCTCATTTGCTCTATTTTTTGTAATATTTCTAAAACATGTAATCCATTTTATGAGGGAATGAGCAAGTAATATAATTAGTTCAAATGGTAAAATAAAAGTAAAATTTTAAAAGCATAATATGCTTATTGAAAGGAAAACATACTTCCAAAATTATCTATGTAGGTTCTAATCGGTTTCGGATCTAATCGGTTTCGGGTTTTATCGGTTTCGGGTATTATCGGTTTCGGATCTAATCAGTTTCGGGTTTAATCGGTTCGGATATTATCGGTTTCGAATCTAATTGGTTTCGGATTTAAATCGGATATGAAATATTTAGTTCGGTTTCGGTTCGATTCGGATCATTTCGGGTTTTTGGTTATAGATCGGATCTTCATTTTTCGGGTCATTTCGGTTTCGGTTTCAGATATTTCGGTTCAGGTAATCGGTTCCGGTTCTGTTTTGCCAGCTCTACCCATGTGCAAGCAACACTCGTAGTCAAACGACCGCACCGCAACCAAAGCAAAGTCAACATATGACTGCAGAAACAAATCAACAAAGAAATCAGAATCAACAGCCAGGACAAGATTAAGCGCGCACTTATGCAATGATAGGATGCGCTGACCCTCAAGACAACAAAGCTTTTGATGGTACGCTTCATAAGTTAACTTGACTGCAATTAGTTGACTTGAATGTGTTTCCCATGTGCTTATTGATATGCACATATTTTATAAACTTTTTAGGCATATTTTGAAGGAGTTTTGAGTCCCAATTGAATTAATGTTTACATTTTATGTCAATTTTCCGTTTTATTTTGGTAGAGCGGTCCTATGCTTGGTTTTATATGTTTTGCAGGTATTTTGAGGTCATTTGGACGCATTGATAATAATTGCAAGAACGGAGAATAAACATGCAAATATGGGACAAAACAATGGAAGAAATTTGAAGAAAAGAAGGAATTAAATAAAAAGAAAAGGAGAAAAACGCCATTGGGTTTTGAACCCTGGACTTCGGGTAGTGGATCAGGAGATGTTTTGACATATTATACTACTGTTTTTATATATTCCGTATATACGAATTTATCTATAAAATTCCATCTCCTCTCTTCTCCTAAGAGGTTGGAACCCCCTATTTCTCTCCTCTCTCCAATCGTAAATTCTCCTCCTCCATCACTAATATCTCACCATTTTCTTCATCCAAACACATAAAAATTACTCCATCTTCATCATCATTTATCATATTTGGAGCTCAAGAACACATCTTCCATTTTGTAAGATTTTTATGTTTGTAATAAATATTTATTTGTTTAAGCTTCAAACTATGTACTTCTAAATTATATTGGGGTTAAAAGTTGGTGTAATTAATTGTCCATCTTAATGTTTTGAATATTTTAATATGGATTGTTAATTTTATTTTATTTAGATGTTGTATTTAAAAATAAATAAATTTGGAATATTTGTGATTTTTAATCAAGGGCCCAATCATAAACATAATTGTTACAAGGAATATGAGCTAAAATTGATATAATCATAAAATAGAACACTTTTTAAATACACTGTAAGCCTTCTCTACCTTTAACCGGGATTGAAGACTTTCGGGTGGACATAATTATTGAGTTGTATTTTTACACCATTAAATTGGGTAAACATACAATAAAATAATTATGGTTGCCGTTGTTACTAAATAATTACTCCGGATTTATCATTAGCGTGTTAAAGTCGGAGTAGTTAATGTTTAGGTGAACTGCGAGAGCGTCCCTAAATACTTTTCTACAACCCCACACATTCTATATAAAAATAAATTGACAATCCTACTTTTATAAAAACATTGGACAATTAATTTACCAATTTCTACCCCTAACTTTTTATCATCAAAAACTTTGTGTTGTTTGGAACTCTCTCTTTTTACACTTTTTATTTTATCTCTAAAACCAAAAAGACCAATAAATATTTTACAACTTCTTTTGTAAACTTTTGTTAAAATTAAAGTAACTCACGTCTTCCTGAGTTTCGACACCCTACTTACAAGGGTTCTTTTTAGTTGTTAGTTTTGCCCGTTTTACACTGCAAATCAACTTCCAACTTGGCACCGTTGCCGGGGAGACGGTTTGAGTTTTTTTAAACATAAGTTCGATTGTTTATTTGTTGTAACTATTTGTTATTATTTTGTTTTCCCTAACCTCTTCCTGCACGTACTAAAAAAACAAAAAAAAAAACCTAAAAAAAAACCAAAACAATACAAACAAAAAAAATTAACCAAAACAAAAAAAAGTGAAAAAAAATTCCTTTGAGTTCCTTTACTCTTGAACACTTATTGGACTTGGACATATTGAACATACTTGGACATATTGAACTATCTTACAGGTCGGATTTTCCACCAACGGTGATTGGACATTTTTTTTCTTTCTTTATTTTGCCCGCTGATCCGCAAAGCCGTCACAGGGTTTGTACATTTAATTACTGCACTTTACATTTCTGCATTTTTTTCTTTTTTTCTAGGCGTGCAAAGCCGCTATTGGACATTATATCTATATACTATATATTATATATTATATATATTATAAATATTATAAATATTAAATATATATATAATATTATATATATATATATATATATATATATATATATATATATATATATTATATATTATACGTATTATATATCTATATATTATTACTAACTCTTTTTATTTTTTAGTTTCCTCGTTGGTTTATTACCACTTGGCACTCTAACTGCTAACTACTAACTAAGGTATCACTTGTCTCGGTGGTTTTTACCTCTTGACTTAAGTGAGAGCCTTTTTATTAATTTTTGCACATTACATTTTTTTTCTTCTTTTCCTTTCCCCCTTTCCCTTCTCTTTTCTTTTTTTCCCCTTTTTCCCCTTTTACTTTCCTTCTATTCCCTTTTTCCCTTCTCCCTCTTCTCACTCCAACCTTCCCAATCCCTTTCTTTTTATGCTAACGCGTTCACGTGGGATTAATCAAGAAAAACTTTTCTTTCTAGAAATTGAAAAACATTTGAATGAAATAAGAAAAAGAAAGAAAATGGAAGTCCCACGGAACAATGTTCTTGAAACTGTACAGGAAATTCCGAGAAGACAAAATGAAGTTCCGAATAGGAGGACTCTTTGTGACTATGTCACTCCTCTTGTGGCGGAACATAACATCATTATTCCACCGGATGTCACAGCAAACAACTTTGAAATCAAAACTGCTGTCATCCACATGGTCTCATCTCATGAGTTTGGTGGAAGACCAACGGAGGACCCACACAACCATATCACCAAATTCCTCCGAGCATGCAACACGTTCAAGATCCATGGTGTGCCAACTGATGCAATCAGACTCTGTCTGTTCCCGTTCTCTCTAAGGGACAGAGCTCAAAGCTGGCTGGATTCATTTCCAGACAATCACTTCACAACTTGGGACCAGCTTCACGGAGAACTTGGGAGAGATTCAAAGATCTTCAAAGGCAATGCCCACATCACAATATCCAAATCTGGCACCTAATGACGGCTTTCTATGAAGGCCTAAATGAAAACTCACGGATATTGTTGGATACCTCGGCGAGCGGATCATTCATGAGCCTTGAACTTGACGAAGCTGAAGAACTCATTGAGCGGATCTCAACAAACGGATCTACCTGGTACTCTGACCGTCCATCCGCTCAACCGAAAATTGGAGGCATGTATGAAGTTGATCAAATGTCAGCCATGGCTGCTAAGGTCGACAACATGATGAGCATGATCCAAAAGATTGCTCAAGTCTCTGCTGTACAAAACACTACGCCAGCACCGCCTCATGTTCCTGTTCTCATGTGTGTATCATGTGGTGGACAACATGATCAATCTTCGTGTCCATGGGATGCAATGGAGCAAGTTGATTATGTCAACTATAACTGGCCGCAGCAACAACAAAACCCATTTGGCGGATTTAATTCTCAAAACAACAATCCACAAGCTTATCGGAGTCCACCACCCGGCTTTCAAAATCAACAGCAACAACAATTTAGAGGTGGCCAAGGTTTTGCTAACAATCATCAGTTTAAGCAAAACCAAAGCTTCCCCTATGTTTCACATCAACAAAAGTCGATCCTGCCAACTCCTGAAACAACATCAGCTCCCGGCTTGGATAACATTGTTGATCAGCTACTCAAATCTCAACTAGCCCAAGCCGAAACCTTGAAGAAGATTTCTGAAGAGCTTACTCAACTTCGAGCTCACAATAGGATTCTTGAAAATCAAATCTCTAGTCAAGCATCAACATCATCAACAAATGTGACTGGAAAATTGCCAGCTTGTCCCAAGAATCCAAGAGAGCAAATGAATGCTATCACTACTCGGAGTGGGAAACAAATTCAATCTCCATCTCTTCCGAGTAGTGATCCTGAAGAAGAAAGAAGAGAGGATGTCAAAGAAGAAGCTCAGGACAAAGTCAAAGGAGATGCTGCTGAAATGTTTCCGGAGTCAATCCAGATCAAAGAAGGAAAGAAAAAAGAAGAAGAAGGTTTGGTAAGGAAATAAGCTCCACCAATTCCTTTTCCAAACCGACTCAAGAAATCACATATTGAGGAACGAAGAACAAAGTTCTTGAACCGTATCAAGCAATTGGATATCTCTATTCCTTTACTTGATGCCATACCGAAATTCCTTCATATGCCAAATTTCTTAAGGAGATCTTAACAAAGAAGAAGGAAAATCCTCTCACGGTGGCCATGAGTCAAGAGTGCAGTGCCATTATCTAAAATAAGATCACACCAAAACTACGTGATCCTGGAAGTTTTTCAATTCCATGCTACATCGGAGGATCTAAAGTAAACAAAGCTCTTTGTGATCTTGGTGCAAGTGTTAGCTTGATTCCATACTCTCTGTTTCAAAAGCTACACTTGGAAGATCCAAAACCGACAACCATGGCGCTACAATTGGCTGATCGCTCTGTGAAGTATCCAATCGGCATTCTTGAATATGTTCCTATGAAGATCGATAAATACTATATTCTAGGAGACTTTGTTGTCTTGGATATGGAAGAAGATGCCCGAGTTCCTATCATTCTCGGGAGACCATTTCTAGCCACTGCTGGAGCAATCATAAATGTGAAGAAGGGTACACTCATCCTTGAAATCAGGGATGACAAGATCGAGTTCAATGTGTCAGAGCTGAGTAAGAATGCTGCATGCATTCTTGATTGTTTCAACGTGGATATCATTGATTCATGTATTCTTGGAACTCTTGAGGAAACTCATTTACTCTCAAGAGATCCAATGGAGTACACCATATGCCAATCTGTTGAAGAGAAACAATCAAATGAGATGGTGAACTCATGCTTGGAGATTTTAGATCATCTCTCCGAACCAATGGAGGAACCGGAAAAATTTGAAGTCCTTAATCTTGAAGAGGAGCCAATGCCCAAAAATGATAAAATACCTAAAGTAGAGCTCAAGCCTCTTCCCTCTACTTTACGGTATGCTTTTCTTGGGCCTGATTCTACTTTTCTGGTGATCATCAACTCTTCCCTAAATGCCGAACAAGAGGAGAAGCTGCTTAAAGTCCTTAGGGAACACCGAAGGATAATTGGTTACACCATTGGCGATATTGTCGGAATCAGTTCTTCATATTGCATGCACCGCATCTATCTTGAAGAGGAACATAAACCAAGCATTGAGCACCAACGACGTCTTAATCCAAACATGAAAGACGTTGTCAAGAAAGAAGTGCTAAAGTTGTTGAGAGCAGGAATCATCTATCCCATTTCAGACAGCAAATGGGTTAGTCCTATTCATGTGGTTCCGAAAAAGGGAGGAAATACCATTGTTAAAAACGACAACAATGAACTTATTCCTACCCGAATGGTTACTGGCTGGCGCATGTGCACTGATTACCGAAAGTTAAACAAAGCCACTCGGAAGGATCATTTTCCTCTCCCGTTCATTGATCATCCGCTGGAAAGAATGGTCAAACATTCCTATTTCTGTTTTCTAGATGGCTTCTCGGGATTCTTTCAAATCCCAATTCATCCTCATGATCAAGAAATGACGACATTTACATGTCCTTATGGCACATTTGCATACCGAAGAATGCCATTTGGATTATGTAATGCACCTACGACTTTTCAAAGGTGTATGATTGCTATTTTCTCAGAATACATCGAGGAGATCATGGAGGTATTCATGGATGATTTCTATGTCTATGGGAATTCATTTGAAGATTGTCTAATGAATTTAGACAAAGTGCTAAGCAGATGCTAAGAAGCCAATCTTATACTAAATTGGGAGAAATGCCATTTCATGGCAACAGAAAGAATTGTACTTGGCCACAAAATCTCTGAAAGTGGTATTGAAGTTGATCCAGCGAAGATTGAAGTCATCGAAAAGTTGTCACCACCAAATTCTGTAAAAGGAATTCGGAGTTTTCTCGATCATGCTGGATTCTACCGCCGTTTCATCAAAGACTTCTCTAAAATCTCAAAACCCTTGACAAATCTACTTTCCAAGGATGTAGATTTTAATTTTGATGTTGATTGTCAAGAAGCTTTTTCTAAGCTGAAGATGGCCTTAAAAACTGCTCCAATTATAAGGCCACCTGACTGGAACTTACCATTCGAAATCATGTGTGATGCCAGTGATTATGCAGTCGGAGCTGTGTTAGGCCAACGCAAGGGGAGAGAAGCCTATGCCATATACTACGCGAGTCATACTTTTGATGATGCATAACTCAATTATGCAAAAACTGAAAAAGAGTTTCTTGCGGTAGTCTTTGCCATTGAGAAGTTCCGATCATATCTCATCGGAAGAAAAATTATTGTGTACACTAATCATGCTGCTATCAAATACCTCATGGCAAAGAAAGACTCCAAACCAAGGCTCCTAAGATGGATTCTTTTACTACAAGAACTTGATATGGAGATCAAAGACCGGAAGGGGTCGGAAAATGTGGTTGCGGACCACTTATCAAGGTTGGAAATTCCCGCAGCAAGAACTATGCCGATCAATGATTACTTCATCGGAGAACAACTTATGCTGGCTAAAAGTATTGATCCATGGTTCGCTGACATAGCGAATTATCTTTCAAATGGAATAATTCCAACCGGATCAACTCATGCAGAAAAGAAGAAGTTGCAATATGACTCTCGAACTTACATCTCGGAGGAACCATTCCTCTATAAAATTTGTGTTGATGGAGTCATACGAAGATGTTTTCCCGAGGATGAAGTTACAAATGTCTTACATCATTACCATTCTTCCACCTACGGAGGACACCATGGTAGCTCCCGCATAGCAGCAAAGGTGTTACAATCTGGTTCTTTTTGGCCTACTCTTTTCAAGGATGCCAACACCTTTATTAAAAGCTCCGACCGTTGTCAACGCACTGGAAACATCGGGAGGAGAAATGAAATGCCTCAAAGGGGCATTCTTGAAGTTGAAGTATTTGATGTATGGGGCCTTGATTTTATGGGTCCATTTCCAAAGTAAAATGGAAAGGAATTCATCCTCGTGGGTGTGGATTATGTATCAAAATGGGTTGAAGCAATTGCCACGTCCACAAATGATTCAAAAGCGGTGATCAAATTTATTCGAGGTAACATTTTCTCTCGATTTGGAGTCCCAAGAGCAATCATCACCGACAATGGCACCCATTTTTGCAATAGAGCATTGGGACGAGTTCTTGCAAACAAATGGTCAAGTCGAGCTTTCAGACAGAGAAATTAAAAGCATCATTGAGAAGGTTGTTAATCCTTCATGAAAGGATTGGTCTGACAAGCTTGACGATTCATTATGGGCATACCGCACGACATTCAAAAATCCCATTGGCACCTCCCCATATCATCTTGTGTATGGGAAGGCATGTCATCTACATGTTGAGCAAGAACACAAAGCATTTTTGGCGGTTAAAAATCTCAACATGGATCTCTCATTGGCGGGTGCAAAGAGAATGTTGCAGTTGAATGAGCTCGAGGAGTTCAGACTCGCAGCTTATGAAAATTCCAAAATCTACAAGAAGCAAACCAAACAACTGCATGACAAGGTAATCTCTAAACGAGATTTCGCACCAAGAGACTAGGTACTTCTTTATAACTCTCGCTTTAAATTGTTCCCTGGTAAGCTGAGGACCCGGTAGTCCGGACCATTCGAGGTAGTGGAAGCATTTCCCTCCGGAGCTGTGCAACTTTGTGGCAAAGATAACGCCAAATTCATTGTAAATGGGCAACGTTTGAAGCGTTATCTTTCCAACGATCACCAAGAGGGAATGCTACTCCATTTCCTCGAAATGCCTGAATATAAGTGATTGCATTGGTAAAGCTAATGACCATAAATAAGCGCTTCTTGGGAGGCAACCCAAGTTTTCAAATTCTGATTTTTTTAATAAGGTAATTGAATTTCAATAAGGCATTTTCCACGCCATGTACAAAAAAAATTAATTTACCGCGGTCAAAAGGCGCACGTATGCGTCCGCGGTAAAGGATGCCCGTCAGTGCTTGGGGATTGTGGATTTGAGCACCCGTGGCGCACACGTAAAGTGCGTATGCGTGGTACCATCATCAAATCGGTGCCATCGTTGGGAGGCTGGGTGGGGCCCGACGAGGTTTCTTCCACCTGCGTCAGTGCTTGCGCGTGAGGTTAGAGCACCCGCTATCTGCCGACGGTAATGGGCTAAGGGTTGGCCACTGACCCATAGTGGTACCTCTCCTTTCTTCTCTTTCTTTTTCTATCCTTTCTGGACTTCATTTCTTGGATCATTCTTCTCCTCACATTTCATCACTTGGATCATTGGACTACATGGTATTGCTTTTGGACTGCATTTGGATCACATCTTGGACTTGGGTTTTTCTCGGTGGACTGCAATTGAGATTGGGCCTTCGGGTGGGCTCCTTGGGTCGGCATTGGATCGCAGACTGGTGGCTGGGCCTTTATGGGTTGCTGGGGTTTGCCGGTTCGGTTGCTGGGTTGGGCCTGGCGGATTGGGCTTGTTTGGACTTGGCGGCTTTTGCTGGGTTTGGACTGCATGTTTTGACTCGGGCCTCTATTCCTTGACGTTTGATCATTGGACTACATAGGATTTTGGCCTTCACTTTGGATCACACATGGGCTACACTGGGCAGGTTGGATGGGCTGGTCACGTGTTGGGCCGATGTCATGGATTTGAGCAGGCTTCATTTTTGCACATGCCTTTTGAGATTGGGCTTCTTCATGGTTTAGGCCTCTTCAGTTATGGGCTCTTCTTGGCTCACTTGGATTATTTTTGCACATATTATTTTATTTATTCATTCTTTAGTTGGGCTTTATTGAATTTTAGACTGGACTTAAGTTGATTGCATTTCTTGGCTCAGAACATTTTTCTTGATCTGGATTATCTGACCTTAGGCTTTACCCTTGCGGGGGTTGGGGCTCCGGGAATGATTTTATTCCTAAGATCTATTAGTGGAGTGTTGATGGCCGGTTTTGTAGCTGTACTTAAGTTTGGGCCTATATATCCGATAAGCTCCTCGCATTATAGTTCTTTGGTTGTTGCTTACTTTCTATACAAGTGTGGAGCCTGTTCCCGCTTGTTCAGACGTTTGTATTCTTTGATTATTTAATAACATGCAATTTTCCTTAAAAAAAAATTACCAATTTTTTAGGAATTGTTTACTTATTTCTCCTTCATTTATTTTACACTGAGGACAGTGTAAATTTTAAGTGTGGGGGAGTGGGTAGATAAAACTTGATTATTTATGTGCATTTTCAAATAAAAAAAGAAAAAAATTATAATTATTATAATTTTTCATTTTTGTTTTGTTTTTTGTGTGTTTGTGCTGAATAATGAACAGTCTTGATCCAAAAAGTAAAATTGAACTTACAATTTCTTTGTTTATATGTCTTGTTAATATTTATATACATAACCTTGTAAATTACAAAATCATCTCTTTTGACGGAATGTGGTATGAGTTCGAGAATTGTTTCATTATAACATCTTGAGAGTAACTGTGTCCGAGCCTTGAGTTAATTTCTGTTAATAATTTAACATAGAATACCATAGAGTTTTTCCAATTTATTGGCTTACTAGCTAAATTTAGTTATAACTTTTATAGACCATGATGTTTCACATTTGTTCTCCATGAAAATGATGTTTTAATTTGACACATTTAGACATGATATAGGTCATCTTTGTTTAACCTCTCAAACCAAGCCTACCCAATTCAAAAAAAAAAATCCTAGTTGTTCCCTTTTGAGCCTTTTTTCTGTAAGTAAGTGTTACCACTTATCTCTTGTTTGTCATTTTTTTTTCTTGTTTCCTTGTAAATATTTAACCCTAAACCATTTTGCCAAAATAAAATATCCCTTCACGCAAGAGTAGATTGACTTATTATTTGATAAGGAACTTGAAAAAAAAAAGAGTTAATGATTGGAGCACTGTGTATTTTTTGTAAATAATTGAGTATGTCATATTCTTTCTTTTGTATTAAAGTTGTACATTCTTTGTCTTTGTAAAGATAATAATAACTTAGTGTGCCTTCAAAAAAAAGAATAAAAAAAAGGATAAAAAAAGTTAAAAAAAAGTTTAAAAAAAAGAAAAAAAAGAGCAAAAAAATAAAAATAAAAATAAAAAAAAGTTGAAAAAAGAAGAAGCACACTAATCTTGAACTCTTTAGATTTTTAGAATTTATTCTTCTTGGGCATAAAAAAATAAATAAATAAAAAATGCACGTACCATTTACTGTATACTTCGTAAAATAATGGTCATTTTTCATTTTCGAGTCATTTGTTTATCTTGCTCCATAGTTACATTTGTAGTAATTTTTGAGTTCCTGATCAAAATAAGTATAATCTATTTTTTTGTCCTTTATACCCTTTCTTTGTTTACCCATATTACCCTTAGCCCCGTTACAAGCCGAATAAAGTCCTGATTGATCTTTTTGTGTCATTTTTAAAAATAATTGGATTGGAGAAACTTGGTTTGTATTAGTTTGACTAATTTAGCACTATAGGTGTTTATGTTAGATTATTAACATGAAAGTTTCTCGGATAGGCAATATTACTCAAGTTACTCTCCTTTTATTATTTTGTGACAATTCATGGGTCTTGGATAGTTCGGTGGAAAAAAGAGATAATTTTGTGATTTTTAAAGTTATGTATGTGAATTCTAACAACACATGTAAAGATTGTATTTGTAGTTTATTTTGCTTGAGGACAAGCAAAAGCCTAAGTGCGGGGGAGTTGATATGCACATATTTTATACACTTTTTAGACATATTTTGAAGGAGTTTGAGTCTCAATTGAATTAATGTTTACATTTTATGTCAATTTTTCGTTTTATTTTGGTAGAGCGATCCTATGCTTGGTTTTATATGTTTTGCAGGTATTTTTAGGTCATTTGGACGTATTGATAATAATTGCAAGAACGGAGAATAAACATGCAAATTTGGGACAAAAAGAAATGGAAGAAATTTGAAGAAAAGAAGGAATTAAATAAAAAGAAAAGGAGAAAAACGCCGGTTTTGAACCCTGGACTTCGGGTAGTGGGTCAGAATAAGACCCATCGCGCCACCGGATATTGTTCGTCACATTGTTGGCGGTTACCGTTTTTTATCTGTTTTTAATTCGGCCCATGAATGACAAAACAGTTAAGGGTGGGAAGCTTCGAATACGGGTTACGGAGCACAACAACAAGATGCATTTCCATGTGCGCTACAGGAGATGTTTAGACATAATCGACTACTGTTTGTATATAGTCCGTAAATACGAATTTATCTATAAAATTCCATCTCCTCTCTTCTCTTAAGAGGTTGGAACCCCCCATTTCTCTCCTCTCTCCAATCCGAAATTCTCCTCCTTCATCACTAATATATCACCACTTTCTTCATCCAAACACATAAAAATTACTCCATCTTCATCATCATTTATCATATTTGGATCTCAAAAACACATCTTCCATTTTGTAAGATTTTTATGTTTGTAATAAATATTTATTTGTTTAAGTTTCAAACTATGTACTTCTAAATTCCATTGGGGTTAGAAGTTGTTGTAATTAATTGTCCATCTTAATATTTTGAATATTTTAATATGGATTGTTAATTTTATTTTATTTAGATGTTGTATTTAAAAATAAATAAATTTGGAATGTTTGTGATTTTTAATCAATCCCCCAATCATAAACATAATTGTTACAAGGAATATGAGCTAAAATTGATATAATCATAAAATAGAACACTTTTTAAATAAACCGTAAGCCTTCTCTACCTTTAACCGGGATTGAAGACTTTCGAGTGGACATAATTATTGAGTTGTATTTTTACACCATTAAATTGGGTAAACATACAATAAAATAATTATGGTTGCCATTGTTACTAAATAATTAGCGTGTTAAAGTAGGAGTAGTTATTATTTAGGTGAACTGTAAGAGCGTCCCTAAATATTTTTCTACAACCCTACACATTCTATATAAAAATAAATTGATAATCCAACTTTTATAAAAACATTGGACAATTAATTTACCAATTTCTACCCCTAACTTTTTATCATCAAAAACTTTGTGTTGTTCGGAACTCTCTCTTTTTACACTTTTTATTTTATCTCTAAAACCAAAAAGACCAAAAAATATTTTACAACTTCTTTTGTAAACTTTTGTTAAAATTAAATTAACTCACGTCTCCCTGAGGTTCGACACCCTACTTACAAGGGTTCTTTTTAGTTGTTAGTTTTGCCCGTTTTATACTGCAAATCACTTATCTGTGTGCATGTGTTTTGAGTGGACATATACATTAGATTAACAAATTTCGGGGACGAAATTCTTGTAAGGGGGAGAGAAATGTAACGACTCGAAAACCAGCTTCGTAGTGAGCCGTTATTTTTATAGAAACAAATGTAATATTTTATTATATTTATAGTAAAAAATACGAAATATTTGTACAGTTGACTTTTTATGTAAAAATTACATTTTTGGGTAAATCTCGTAAAATGATGACCAACAGTTTGTTAAGTATGGACTTACGTGTAAAGCATGATACAGTTCAACAAATAAAAATAAAGTTTGAAAAATATAATTATAAAAATATATAGGAAGTTTCCTATTCTTCCCAAGTCACGCACTATGAAACTCCAACCCACCCAAACACAGAATATTGCATTTGCATATATATTTGATGCCGTAAAAAAACAAGTTGGTTTGATCAGGCTTAAAGTATTTGAATAGCGATACAATGTTTCGTTTCTCGATGTCATAATAATGGGGAATAATATTACAAATTTAGCAATGAAATGTTTCACACTGCAGCAAACTAAATTTTACTGCAACAATGGGTTTTTTTAACTTGTCCAAATGCAGAGAAGAAAAGAATAATTACTTTAAAAAACTGTATGCCATAGTGCAATAAATAATAACCTTCAAAAACTTCATTATGGAAATTCGGCAGGAGAGGTTTGATCAGCTGGTTGCTCTTGAATCGCGCCATATCCTTCGAGCAATGTAAACATGGCGGCTGCTTCAGACAAGCCTTTGAATGAGAGAGCTAATGAGTAACCTAAAGCTTTTGCAACTAGAACAACAACTGCATTTCCCACTTGTGTGTACTTGTCTTTGATGGAGCCACAAAGCTTAAAGTAATCAGGAAATCCCTGTAACCGCGCGTTTTCTCTGATTGTGAGAACTCGGTCTTGGACAGGGTGACAAATGGCCTGATTGTGAGGCTCAGCCCTGGTGACAACGGTTGGGACAGTTTCATCCCACCATAACCATTTGAATGGCTTGGTCGAAGTCCCTTTCACAAAAGAGATAGCATAGTTAGGTACCAATGGCTTCCCAGAAGGCAAATACACTCTTTCGACATTTGGATCCAACTCAACCTTATTGCCAACCACGCGAACACCAGATAAATCTCTGAAATTTGCGCCCTTCCTCTTTGGAACATGGCATACGCGTTGATAATCGTCTTCATTCAACTGTAATGGACAACGATCATACAAAACTTGTCCAAGCACACCATCTTGCCCAAGTCTTATAAACTGCTGAAAATGAGTTTTTGGATCATCAACATAATGCATCTCTTCTCTAACCTCAGTATTCTCAACCTTAGGAAGATCGTAAATGGCATCTTCAAGAAAGAGTGCGTTCTTTAGGTTGACATCATGGTTTTCATAATCAACATTGTTGCACTCAAACTCTTTGGAAATGACGCCTCTACTATCAACTTTGTGGGCTAGCAAAGGAAATTGTGACAGCTTCTCTCCTTGAAGGGCACCCCACAAAAAGACACGCATGCAAAATTGTGGGAGGCCATACGCTCCACCTGCAAGCATACCCGTCTGTGCCTGATAATTCATCCCTACAAGCCGGCTTAAAGCATATCTCCCAAGAAACCCACTAGGAAATTTTAAAAGATCAACAACATTCTCCATCAACACAAACTTTGGCCTTAAAAAATCAACCAAATCCATATAAGTTTTCATTTTCTCACTTTTTGGATCCTCCAAAGAATTCTTAAAGTTCCTAAATCGATTGAAGCCACTTATTCCTAGACAAGGTGGACCGCCGCAAATAACATCAACATGTCCTGGTAGAGGCGGTCTTTTTTCTTTAAAGCCATTGACAACAAATTCTTTGATCTTTTGAGGGAAACCACTTAATCCCTCTATTGGTTCTCATGTGTCATAATCATCATCATACCCCTTCCAATGTATCTTAAAATATAGGCCAGACTTTCTATCACCATTAGGCTTTCTGTAACAAATATCCAAAATATGGTCAACCTCATACACTTCACCTCCAGTATCATCATCATCATCATCATTGCTCTCTTCTTCTTCCTCATCACTTGTTGACATATCCAAATTAGGGTGAGGGGAGCAGTTGCTTGTTATCAACATACAAGAGGCACAAAGCTGCTGCCATTCTTTTAAAAGGGCCAAAAATGTATCAGCTGGCACATTCATCACATTTGTCTCTGGGTGGTTTAGTCTTAAGCTATCACATGCAGGTCCATTCATATCCACAGCCCATTTTGTAACCAAATTAACATTGAAACCTGTTGCTCCTAAACATAGTCCTATGGACATTCCGCCACAACCAGAATAAATATCCAAGAGCGTTTTCTCTGAATTAAGCTCTCTAACTTCTACCCCATCAGACTCACTAGAGATTGTGGAAGTGGACACATCGGCATCAGTGAAATCGTGTGGCAGGTTCAGAAATGTGGAGCAAGGAACAACATACATCATATCACAATAAAAATCAGATTCAGGTGGAATTATATCCCTTGAAACAGAATTTCCATTGTATGGTATGCAATGTATGCTGACTTTTTTTACAAGGCAGTCAATGTTATTATCGTCCTTGATTTCAGAAAAGAATACACGGCGAGGGTCAACAAACTGATCACATGATGTGATGACAGTCTCCTTGGCTCTATAATACCATTGCGCTATAAAATAGCACATACCATCAACTGCTTCAAACATTTCTACAATTTTACAAATAAAGTTATCTTCACCTTCACCAGCTATAACACCCCAACTCGATTAACCCGATGATCTAGATTATTTGAGCCAGAGTAGTTACCATGATGGTAATTACGCATGATAATTTAAGGAATAATTGAAAACCAATTAAATATTAATATAAATGATAAATTCAAATATTAAATTTCAGAGTAACGTTGAAACAGTGCGGAAGCTAAAATATAAAACATAATTAAGTCGTATTACATTTTATGGGAACTCGCCCGAAAAGGTATTTATTAAAATAAAGCATAGTAGTTGTGGTCCACCAGTCCGTGTAGCAAGTAAAGAATAGTACTTGCTACACGCAGGTAATAATACTGAACATGGAGCCCATCCCGGAGGTCAATGAGAGTGATGAGATGTACCATGACATGTTGATGTACGGACTGGTGGACCACAACTACTATGCTTTATTTTAATTAATACCTTTTCGGGCGAGTTCCCATAAAAAGTAATACGACTTAATTATGTTTTATATTTAAGCTTACGCACTGTTTCAACGTTACTCTGAAACTTAATATTTGAATTTATCATTTATATTAATATTTAATTGGTTTTCAATTTTTCCTCAAATTATCATGCGTAATTACCATCATGGTAACTACTCTGGCTCAAATAATCTAGAACATCGGGTTATTTGAGTTGGGGTGTTATAGCTGGTGAGGGTGAAGATAACTTTATTTGTAAAATTGTAGAAATGTTTGAAGCAGTTGATGGTGTGTGCTATTTTATAGCGCAATGGTATTATAGAGCCAAGGAGACTGTCATCACATCATGTGATCAGTTTGTTGACCCTCGCCGTGTATTCTTTTCTGAAATCAAGGACGATAATAACGTTGACTGCCTTGTAAAAAAAAGTCAGCATACATTGCATACCATATAATGGAAATTATGTTTCAAGGGATATAATTCCACCTGAATCTGATTTTTATTGTGATATGATGCATGTTGTTCCTTGCTCCACATTTCTGAACCTGCCACACGATTTCACTGCTGCCGATGTGTCCACTTCCACAATCTCTAGTGAGTCCGATGGGGTAGAAGTTAGAGAGCTTAATTCAGAGAAAACGCTCTTGGATATTTATTCTGGTTGTGGCGGAATGTCCATAGGACTATGTTTAGGAGCAAATAGTTGCAATGTTAATTTGGTTACAAAATGGGCTGTTGATATGAATGGACCTGCATGTGATAGCTTAAGACTAAACCACCCAGAGACAAATGTGATGAATGTGCCAGCTGATACATTTTTGGCCCTTTTAAAAGAATGGCAGCAGCTTTGTGCCTCTTGTATGTTGATAACAATCAACTGCTCCCCTCACCCTAATTTGGATATGTCAACAAGTGATGAGGAAGAAGAAGAGAGCAATGATGATGATGATGATGATGATGATAATGGAGGTGAAGTGTATGAGGTTGACCATATTTTGGATATTTGTTACAGAAAGCCTAATGGTGGTAGAAAGTCTGGCCTATATGTTAAGATACATTGGAAGGGGTATGATGATGATTATGACACATGGGAACCAATAGAGGGATTAAGTGGTTTCCCTCAAAAGATCAAAGAATTTGTTGTCAATGGCTTTAAAGAAAAAAGACCGCCTCTACCAAGACTTGGGGTACAAAACTTGGGGTACACATAGCATAATCCTTGAGACTTTGACAAATGCAAATGGGATCAAATCCAATGTTGGGCCCAGACTCTCTTCTTTTCTTCAATTGTGGTGTCAAAGCTCTAAGACTCCAGCATTGCTATTTCCTCTATGTTGAGCTCCAAATTATATCTTAAACATTGTGTCAAGAAAAATAATGCTCCAAAAACAATAAAACATAAATATACTTAAAATCATGCATTTTATAAATAAAATGTAAACAATAGCCCAAGATGATAAATATAACAAAATATGTTTATTTAAATATAAAATGCATATAAAACATCTTAAAAGTACTAAGAAATGAAGGAATAAAATATGACATTTTGTGACTCAACACCAGTATTGTATTCTTATTCTGTTACTTTGTCCACCAACAGTTCAGCTAGGTAACCTATCCATATTCAAGTTCATACTCTCGTATTCTAAAGCTCATACGTAATCACAGTAAAGTTCATAAACATACATACTTAACAATTAGCAACCTAGCGTCGGGTGTAAACATCTTCCACTTATCGTCATGCAACACACAAGACCTCGAAGTAAATCCGGGATTCGAATCGGGACAAACAATTAAGAAAAAGGGCGGCTGGGGTCTAACACGGTACCTGATACGATACCCTGGCCAGGCAGTACCATGGTACCGTCGGTCCGGTACCCCCGACCATCCGAGTACAATTGCCGCCAGAGAAAATTGGCTTGTGGCGATAGTCGGGTATTGTTAGGCGATACCTAGCGACCGTCTAACATCAAGAACGTAGCAGAGTTTGATCCAACTCTAAATCATTCAATACGTATAATGTTTTTAAAGCTTATTGACACACAAACAATTGGAGTAAGAGAACATACATGGCCTCCTCGATTAATCAATAACATCATATATTTTTAAATAAATCATAATTCAAATCATAATCAAATCGATCACATAATCAATCATACGAGATTACGAACGTGAATTTCAGACCTACACAAATAATCTAATGTTAGATGTTCACCTACTCACACCTCGATTAATTGAAGACGGATTAAATAGAATTCACCAATTAATCAGAGAAGATGATGGAGGACGATGGCGGCTGTTTTACTGGCGACCACGATCGCTAGCGATGCAAGAACGGCTGACCTTCTCCCTGTTTGAAGATCCCGACGGCAGACAAAGGCTGTTCTGCGACTTCCCTCTCTTGCGTTCACATTTCAAATCTGTCTTCTTTTTCCGGTAGAAATCCGTAAATATTTTACAGTCTTAAACTCTGTATATTTGTTTTCTTTCTTTATCCATGCATGTTTTTATATGTATATACATGTATATGCAAAATATTCCGTGTTTGGGTGGGTTTAGGGTTTCTTGGTGCGTGACATAGGTAGAATAAGAAACTTCCTATATATTTTTATCGGTAAGTCTAAAATGACACCAGTGCTACTAGTGTCATTTGCTTACACCAGTTTGTTTGGGGTGCCTACGGTGCTCCGTTTGGAAAAATAACGGTTCCTACCCCCCTAACCCTCCCCCTTAACCCCCCACCCCAACCCCACCCTAGCCCCCCCACCCCAGCCCCCCCTCCCGCCCCCATCCCTACCCATGTCATGCACTGCCACGGTAGGGAGGGGGGCGGGAGGGGGGGCTGGGGTGGGGGGGCAAGGGTGGGGCTGGGGTGGGGGGTTTAGGGGGAGGGTTAGGGCAGGTAGGAACCGATGTTTTTATAAACGGAGCACTGTAGCCAAACGAACTGGTGTAACACCCTCCATCCCGTGAACGCAGTTCACCGCGGCCCAACAAGCCGGAGAGGTTACGTAGACGGTTTTAAGGCCATCTACAAAGAAAAACCCTTGCGTTGCTTGTTACAGAAAAATACCCTTGATATACTTTATTAATGTTGAAAATGAAACTGTTAAGTCATAAATAACGTAAGTGCAACAACGGTGGGTTCAAGCCCAAAATAGGTTTTTAATAATAATAAATAACTAGTCGGGTCAACACTGTCGCTCATCCACCGCCCCGATCACCCAGTCGTCCGGGTTAGGCTCCATGATCCTCTGGCCTACCTGCGTATAGCAAAGGGAAACAATGCTATACGCTCAGCAAAAGATGAGTGGTAATCTAACAGTAGAACACATAGTACATTCACATTGATATAAACATAAGTGTACCTGTACTAAAGTACGAGATACCACATACACATTTAATGAATTATAGGTTATGAATAAACAGCTATGCAATGCCACATAATCATGATGCATGAGTTAGATTGCGCAGGGACCCCTGCCCTTCGGTGATCATCCCCACGCGGTAGATGAGCCGAGGAACGCCTTAGTCATCTCGATGGAGACTAGAATGTGGGTGATAGCTAATCCTAGCTACCATGTACGTGCACAAGCCCTCGTGATGAAACCCGTTTGATCCCGAAGGCTCCTGGACCGGCCCACGGAAGAGGCGCACTAGCCTTGACCTCTTGTCGGGTATGCAAGTATGCCATGATCCTAAACATGCGTCTAGGATATACATGATGGTATGAATGCATTACTTTGAGAAAATTTTGCAAAAATTTTTTGTAAAAATTTTTTGGAATTAAATTGCCTTTTCGAAAATAATTTTGCAAAAAGGGCATTTTGGTCATTTGGAATATTCTGGATTTTTTTATGCTGGCAGAATATCCAGAGTATATAAAATGATTTTATAAAATTTTATTAGATTTATTTGGACATCTAATTTAATTTTATGAGTTTTAGAAAATATTTACTGCCGTAGTATTTTTCTAGGACTGTCTGGGGTGAGCGCGGTTCACCCGGTGTATGTATATCTCTATTGCTTGTGTGGATGTATGATATGCATGGTGGATGATTGTGGCTATAGTTTATTTGATTATAATACGGCCTGCGTGTCGTGCCTTATCTCTTAAACTCTTGTTGTAAATTTATTTCTCTCTCTTACCTCAACCGAGGATTCTTTTCTCACGTGGTGGTTTGAAGACGAAAAGATTTGAAGACGGTTTGGAGAAATCTAAAAGAATGGAGATAACCCGAAGTTCATTGCCCGGAAGCCAGTGGGAGATATCGTTTTAATTTTCTTTTAGGGGCCACAATCATTACACGTTTATTTACTGCGTTTTGTGAATGCATGTTGAATGTATGTTGAACGCTAGTAATGGACATGTGCGCGGCCATGTCGATAGGTGAGATCGAAATTATAAATCCCTCACGAATATTAAGTCCGTTGCCTTCTGATGCCCGGCACCTATTCGGCTAATGTGCACTGTCATGTGCTCAGCCTCAGCAGAGCATAGTACGGTGTATGTTAAGCTGGTTACGGGAACCGCCATAGCGTGGTCGCTGTCGCACATTGGGTTAGACTTAATTGAGTCTCGGTCAAATGGATGGATGACTCAGAGGCAGTAAGTTGGGGTCATCAATGACAAGTCAAATGATTTTACTCACTCATCCAGCCAGGAGTTAGATCTTTATGATTTAATTGGAACTCTGTTCCTAACCAAAGTAGTCTGCTTGTAAGATGTGCCTCAGCCAATTACAAGTATGGTGAAAAGGTGTCCTGGTCCGATTGTAGTAATATTGTTCGCCCAACACCAGACCAAGAGCTGAGAGCCCGGCTCATCAGTTGGAACTATGTTCCTACCTAAATAGTTGTCTTATGGAGTAACGCCCAAGCGGAACGCAAGATAATGAAATATGGATCTTGGCCCACTAGAGGTTTTGCCGGAAATCTCCGAATCAATATCGAGGGTTATTGATTTGTTAAAAATAGTGGGAGATAATTAATTAAAGGCCTAATTAATTATTAAACATGATAGATAACCTATTTTGCAAAATTTTTTGTAGATGGAAAACAACAACAACCCTTTCAACCTGCGATATGTTCTAGAAAAGGAAAAATTATTTGGAACTAACTTTCTTGATTGGGAGATGAATCTTAAGATTGTTCTCGAATGCGAGAAAAAGTTTTAACATCCTAACATGATTATCTTGCCCAGAATCACGTACTAAAACTTATAGTGAGTAAGAAATTTATACCTTTCTCCGTAAGCGGTAAAAATGAAGAAGTCGTAGGAAGAGCGTTGAAAGTGCAAACGTAACCGTTCAAGCGTCTGGTCTCCAACTTTGACACACGAACAACGCCGGAGTCTTCCACAATCTTTATGCTAGTATAGATTATAGTAGTATAAAATATAAAGATTAAAATTGGGATAATAATAATCTTGTATATTTCTTATAGAAAATATTTCTAATAATATTTAGAAAATATTATAGATATTTTCGACACACAAAATGATATTAATGGAACCAAACTAATATATTTCTCTCTCTTAAATGGTATGGCCGAACAATACCCATGCTTAGCTAATGGTGTGTATGGTTTTAAATAAAGCATGATTAGTAATTGATTTTGTCATTAGCTAAATGACAAATCAATTAGCCCACTCAAAAATCAATCAAAGGAAATAATGATCCTCTTCAATCCCATATGGCCGAACAAAAGATTTGTGATTGTGAGAAGGATTTTCGAAATTCTTCTCCACTTAAATGTTCAAAGTGTATTTTATTTGACACCAAAAATTAATATAAAAATTAATTTTAAATCAAATAAAAATACCCATATCATTTTTAAACAAGTATACAAATATACTTTAAATAGTTTATGTCAAGATAATTATTTTCATAATTAAAGTGACAAACCAAAATAAAATATTCAACATATACTATATATATACATTAATCGGTACATATATATATAATATATATAACCGAATATTTATATATATAATATTATATTCCAAAATATTTTATTTTACTATTTTACAAATATACAAATTACTTATTATCCCATTGTTTAATCCTACTCCTTAAATTGTTCAAAGTGTGTGACCCGTATAGGCACTTATAAAGCTGGCCACAGTATTGGCTCTGCACCAATACTATAAGCAATAAGCGGTATCTAGCAACACATTATTGCCAATATGTTAAGACGTTTGCACTGTCAAAACCTTTCCACGACTCAGACTCTGTGTAACTGTATCCCTTTGTCTCAATGTCTAAACTTAATGCAAGGGATTAATAAAATCCAGCTTGTATCCATTAAGGCATTCACTGATTTATCAAGTCTGACTGATAGGAACAGACGGCCTATACATGATAGAATAATGATAAACAGTTGGCCATCAGGGCACAACTCCAACAATCTCCCACTTGCACTATGGCCAATCTGGCATCGGTCGAATGCCCATGGACTTAGTGTGACCCTCATGCTTTAGCTTTCGTAAAGGATTGGTCAAGGGGTCGGCTATGCTGTCGTCAGTATCTACTTTGCAAATAATCACATCTCCTCTGTCTACGATTTGTCGTATGATGTGATAACGTCGTACAATGTGTTTGGTTTTCTGGTGAGATCGCGGTTCCTTTTCCTGTGCAATGGCCCCAGTGTTGTTGCAAAACAACGAGATAGGGTCATTAATACTAGGAACCACTCCAAGTTCAGTAATGAACTTCTTGATCCAAACAGCTTCTTTAGCTGCCTCGGTGGCAGCTACGTACTCAGCCTCTGTAGTCGAATCGGTGGTTGTATCCTCCTTGAAGCTCTTCCAGCTAAAAGCTCCACCATTTAGGCAAAACAAAACAAATATCCTGCTTGTGATTTTGAATCGTCTCTGTCGGTTTGGAAGCTAGCATCAGTGTAACAGACTACCTTTAGCTCTTCCTCACCACCGTATACCAGGAATGCATCCTTAGTATTGCGAAGATACTTGAGGATGTTCTTGACCGCTGTCCAGTGTGCTTCTCCTGGACTTCCCTGGTATCTGCTGGTCACGCTTAAAGCGAATGAGACATCAGGTCTAGTACATATCATGGCGTACATGATGGATCCAATCGCAGAAGCGTACGGAACCTTCATCATGAGTTCCTTCTGCTCGGGAGTAGAAGGACTCTGGCTCTTGGAAAGAACCGTGCCAGGTGTCATAGGTAAAGATCCTTTCTTTGAGTTAGACATGCTAAATCGATCAAGGATTTTATCTATATATGTACTTTGATTCAAACCTATTAACTTTCTTGAGAAGTTCTCGCTCAACCACGTCTTTACAGAAGTGAGAGCGGGAATATCATTACCCATTAACAATATGTCATCGACATATAAGATTAGGAATACTATTACACTCCCACTAACCTTCTTGTATACACAAGATTCGTCAGAGTTCTTCTCGAAACCAAAACTGGAAATGGTTTCATCGAAACGTATGTACCAACTCCGAGATTCTTGTTTCAATCCGTAGATTGAACGTTGCAGTTTACAAACTTTGGTAGACTGACCAGCAATTTGAAAACCGTCAGGCTGTGTCATGAACACATTGGTGGTCCCAAAGTGGTGAGATACAAAGTCTAGAGGGGGGGGTGAATAGACTTTGTTACAAATTTAAAATCTTTTTCGTTTCTTTTGAAAAACGTGAAAATAAGTGTTAATCTAGAGTTCTTGAGAACTTTAGATTGTGTGCGGAATTTGGTGGGTAGAGTGAGCAGTAATCAATATGGATGGGTTAGTTTTCACAGTTAATGTAATTGCAAGTTAGAGTAAAGATAAAAGAGAGAGACACGCAAACTTTAACGAGGTTCGAAGGTGGGGTAATCCTTCTACGTCCTAAAAATCCACTATGTAGTTGGTTGTTGAATAATGAACCAACAATTACACTTGTGTGAATTTCTGCACGGTATATCTTCGCAAGACCAATGTTGCTACTGCACTCGTGCTGGCTTTGTTGTTCCTTCGAAGGTCACGCTTCTTCAACAACTTCAAGATCCGAACAATAGGACTTGCAAGATCAACTTGTAAGAAAGTTGACCTACCCCCTTTTTAATCAAGAAGTTTGATCAAAAAG